TCGGCCGGGGCTCGAACCGGGGGGGGGGGGGCGTCTGCGTGCCAAGCTGAGGCTCTGCCGCTGAGCCGCCGCCCCTCCTCCAACGCCTTGGCTCCCAGTGCCTGGCTAGGCGTTGCAACCTGCTGCGCAGCCCACCTTTCCCTTCGGCTGGGCTCACCCCACACTCCCCTCCCCTCCCGCCCTCCGTTTTATTCCCACCACAGCCCCGTGAAGCGGGCTAGGCTGAGTGAGGGGGTGAGCTCCCCCCCCCCCTCAGCCGCCAAGCAGCAGCCGGGCGCACTCTTGCCAAGGAGGCTCCAGGCGGATGATCCTGCACTGAGCAGGGAGGGTGGGTGTTTGAGTGTTGGGCGAGACGGCCTGTGTGGCCCCTTCCGGCTCTCTGGTTCTGTCAGTCTCTGTGGTGAGCCCTTGAACCTGGATCTTCCAGATCTCCATCTGACCTGCTAACCATTCTGACACAACACTGAATTAGTAATGTAGTATTACTAAATACAGCTTCAAGAGGGAATTAGATAAGCGTATGGAGCAGAGGTCCCTCAGTGGCTCTTAGCCACAAGGTATAGATAGGAACTCTCGGTCTGGGGCAAGGGATGCCCTGTATTCTTGGTGCTTGGGGGGGGCACAATGGGAGGGCTTCTAGTGTCCTGGCCCCACTGGTGGACCTCCTGATGGCACCTGGTATTTTTGGCCACTATGTGACACAGAGTGTTGGGCTGGAGGGGCCATTGGCCTGATCCAACACTGGCTTCTCTTAGGTCCTTAATTGTTACACAATTTATGTACATTAAAAAAAAAGTCATGACAATACTGTCTGTGTTCAAAGTACAAAAGGGTTTCTTTCCTTCAGTGCACCCCCAGGTAGGAAAAGTCCTCAGATTTTTTTCCTGCTTTGCATTTTGAGTGTCTGGGGCCCTGCTTGTAGAGCCTCCCTTCCTCTGTGTCATGCCCCAGATGGCTCAAAATCTGTACACCCCTGAATCTTGGATGCACGAGTACTTATTCCAAGGAAGTGTTGCTGTTGGAAATGTTACAGGCCACAGGCAGTGCAGGCTGAAGCAGACGGCCAGGTCGATGGCCACTGAGTGAGGAAGCAGGGGTGTGTGTGCTTGTGTGTTGTGCCATTTGACTCCCCCCCCATATGTGGGTAAAATGACTCTTGTTCACTTGCAAAAATGGCCCCATTGTGAGCTGCCTGAGCGTAGAAGGGGGTGCCTCCTCTTACCACATTTTCCCTAGAACAATTTCTTTCTGTGCAGAACCTGGGCAGCTCCTTCCTCGCAGTGCCTGCAGCTGCGCTTCCTTCCAGGCCCAGCCCCTTTAGACCTCCCGCCTCTTCCTTATCTCTGGCCCCGCAGGGTGCCTCATTTTGCAAAGAGAGAGGCTCCTGATCAGACACGGGTCAAGTCGCTGGCAAAGACCTCGCAGAGCTGGAGATGGCAGACGGGCCCAGCCAGGTAATGGGGGAGGAGAGCCGGAAACCCTGCTTGCCCGCAGGAGTGCTCTGGGAGTCTGCTGCCCGGCACTGTCTGACGGCTGCCTCCCTTATTATCAGGAGACTCAGTGGCGGAGGCTGGAGTCTCCCCCCGCCGCACGTGTGCACTGCTTTGTCCTCTTTAGGGCCATGGCTTTGCAGCAAGATGCCAGGCTCCCCACTAACCCTGATCCCTCTGCAGGAAGGGCTTCCTAGGCCTTCCCTCTGGCCACCAGCTTGTGGCCTCCATTGCTGGGTTTCATCCATGGGTGGCTGTGGTGCAGATGAGCGGGCTGGGCACACTCAGCGCCTTTCACGTCTTTGAGTCTGTGTTGGAGAGAAGGGCAGAGTGTCATTCAGCTGCGTGGCGGTGGGCATTGTGGTGGAGCCTAAGGACAGCCCAGGGAGGGTCCACCTAGTCCAGCATCCTCTCACCCGATGGCCAACCTGTTCCTCTGGACAGCCAACAAGAGGGCAGAGAGGCCGAGGCCTTCCCCTGACATCATCTCCAGGCTCTGGAATTCAGAGGTTGAGCGACTCCGAAGGTGGAGGTTCCCCTCAGTCATCATGGCTGGTAGCCACTGATAGGCCAATCCTCCATCAATCGATCTAATCCCCTTTGCAAGCTGTTTATTCCTAGGGCCCTCACACATCCTGCGGCAGCGAACTCCACGTTTTAACTAGCATTTCCTTTTGTCTGTCCTGAACCTGCTGCCCATCAGCTTCCTTCGATGCCCCGGAGTTCTAGTCTTTTGAGGGGGGAGAAAAATTTCAAGAGCCTCGGACTCGGGAGGCTTGACTTTGAATTTCCGCTCTGCTGGGAGGCCAGGGGCAGCCAGCTTCCCTCTCGGGCTTGTTGCCAGGATTAAACGGAGGGAGGGAGGGAGGCCTGCGGCTGGGGGCTGCCTGCAGAGGGGTCAGAACGAGCCCGGGATGGACCCGGAGGTGGAGAGTAGAGCAGGGGACCCAAAGGAAGGGCTCTGCTGCCAGCAGCTTGGACAGGGAAGCAGGGGGGGGGGGGGGGGGGGGGGATGATCACTTTACGCCATTCAGTTGCCTGTCTGGAGCCTAAGGGAACCACTGGTGCATCACTAGGGCTCATCTCTGAATGGCGTGAGGCTGCCAAATGTGCCCTTGGTGGGTCGATCCGTGCTGAACCTTCCCAGGTTCCCTCTTTCTGTCCCTGTTGGTCACACAGTCCGTCTCTCGCACGCACTATGGGCACTGGTCCTGACAAGCGTGCCCTTGTATGCAAGAGTTTGTGGAGACCGAAGTTTCGTTTCTTGAAATAACTGGAGGCAAACCTTTGCAGGAGGAAAATGGCTTGAAAAGCCACACGATCCGCGTGGGAACCAGGAAGAGCCAGGTGAAGCCAACCCCCACCCCCACCCTGGCTGAAGAAAAGTCTCTCCATCAGCCTCCCCTGCAGAATCCCAAGAAACGTGCTCGAAGACGGGGGTGGGGTGGGGTGGGGTGGCCGGCTTGGGAAGGAGATAATGGCCTCCCGCCCACCCTTGTGGTGGATTGCAGCTAATCTCCACCTGCCAGCTGCCCCTTCTGGAGGGGCCTAGCCCGGGGCAGGCCCAGCTCCACTTCCCTGGCACCTGCTGCAGGGGGGCTCTCCCTGTCTGACTGCTGGGTGTCTGTGGAGGGAGCAGCAGGGCCCAGGCTGATGTCTCTCCGTGTGTCCCGGGGGAGGCCACGGCTGCTCCTCCAAGGGGGCCCCCTGGCGGCTGGCCACTCTGTCTGCACTGGAGGCAGCTTCCGATGTTCTCTGACCCTTCCTCTCCCCTTGTTTGGAACGGCAGCTGGCCCGGATCCAGACGGACAGCGTGGTGCAGATGCTGCAGGAGCGCCACCCCCACCTCTGCTTCGAGATTGGTGAGTGCCTGGGGCCCCGGACGGGAGCAGCCAAGCCCCAGTGAGCTCGGGGGTGGGGTGGGGGGAAGGGAGCGGCATAGGCATTCCTCCGGGCACCAGCACAACCCGTGGCGCGCTGGCCTGATGTGTGACTGACTGGGCCCTTGCTCTGCTGCCCCGCAGAGGGTTCTGGGGAAAGCGGGCGGTGGCTGGACAGGAGAGTCCCCTCCCCACGTGATCCAGGCCCTCCCCACCATACCGTCTCCTGTATCCAAACTGCTGGTGCTGGAGTGACACCCCCCCCCCACATTCCCCATGTGTTTGAACAGTTGCCATGTCGACCACTGGAGACCGGATCCTGGACACAGCTCTCTCCAAGGTAAGCCCCGCCCCCTCTGCCCCCCTTGACTGTGGCTGGCTCCCGCAGAGGAGTCCTCCTTGCCTCTGACGGATGGCCTCTTTCCACCCCACCCCCCTTAGATTGGAGAGAAGAGCCTCTTTACCAAGGAGCTGGAAAATGCCCTGGAGAGAAACGAGTGAGTGCCCTTGTGGGCTGGCCTGAATTTTGCCCTGCAGGTGTCACTGGTGGAGCTGGCACTCACCGGGGGGGCTTCTTTGGTGCTGGCCTCTTGCCAGGCAGTGGGTGCCTGCAGAGCCAGGGCCGGCTGTCTTGAAACAAAGCCCGTGGCATGCATGGCAGGGGGGGAGGGAGAGGGCATGACAGAGCAGGGCCAAAGAGCCCAGCATTCCCGCTCAGTGTGCCCTTTCAGAGGGGTGTGTGAGCATTTTCACAACAATCCTGAAAAGTAGGCCACACTGAGAATGATTTGCTCAGGGCTGCCTGGGCTCTGTTGCAATCCTGCCGCCTCCGGTTTGGATTCACCGGTCTGGCATTTGCGGCTCCCTGCCCACTTTCTGTGGTGCTCTGGTTTCAGGGTTGACCTGGTGGTTCACTCGCTGAAGGACCTGCCCACGACCCTGCCCCCAGGATTCACCATTGGTGCCGTCTGCAAGTGAGTGGGAGAGCCTTTGCGAGGTTCAGCCCGAGGGCGGGAGGGAGGGGAGCTTTGGCCAGCTGGTCTCCTCCCCTTCCCTCTGCTGCTGTGCACGTGGGCGACTCGGGCAGGGCAGGGCAGGGCCCCTCCCACCAGAGCCTCAGATGCGCAGCGGGGCTGGGACTCTTTGGGCTGTGCAGGGGGAAGGCCAAGGGAGCCCTGCTGCCACTCAGCTGACCTGTTTCATGGCTCTGTGCAGGAGAGAGAACCCCCATGATGCCGTCGTCTTTCACCCCAAGTACTCTGGGAAAACTCTCGACAGCCTCCCTGACAAGAGGTGAGTTTGCTGCTTAGCCCCCTCTCAGCTGCATATTCTCTGCTTGCTACAAGAAGACATGCTGGTTTGCCACTGCAGACAATCTTTCTGGAGCCTGGGAGTATCGTCCCAAACCTTCAGAAGAACCTGCTGGATCACAGCAGTGGCCTGTCTCCTCCAGCATTCTATGTTGCACCGTGGCCAACCATTTGCCCCGCAGATCCAGACAAACTGGGCACAGAGAAGAGACAAACTGGGCATAAGAAGAGAAACCAATGTTGGATCAGGCCATCCGGTCCAACACTCTGTCACACAGTGGCCAAAAATACCAGGTATTTTGGTGGAATTAGCCATGAATCTGGCTAATTCCCTTTTACAGCTTTCTATGCTTGTGGTCATCGCTAGTTTCACTGACATTCCCTTTTTATCTGTCCAGAACCTATTTCTCAGCAGCTTCACGGCGTGCCCCAGAGTTCTAGTAGCTCCTTCTATACACTTTCTCCACCGCATGCATCATTTTACAAACCTCTCTCATGTCTCCCCTTAGCGATCTTTTTTTCTTGACTGAAAATTCCCAGTCTCTTTCGCCTTTCCTCATAGGAAACCTCTTAATCATACTGATCGCCTTCTGCCTTGCAATGTCCTTTTTGAGATCTGGTGACCAAAACTGCATGCATTATTCCAAATTCCTTGGATCCCCTCTGCTCACCCCAGTCTTTAAAAAGGGACTATTTGCTATTTTCCAGTTATCCAGCGCAAAGGACAATTCTAGAGACATAGTAAAGGTACTTGTTAGTAGACTGACAGTTTCATATTTGAGTGCCTTAAGTCTTCGGGTGTATGCCATCTGGACCTGCAAGCATATTAGTTTTCTGTTTGCCCTGGTAGTCCTAGAATGTCAATTCTCATCGCCTCAGTTTGACCCAGTCCTTCAGGCAGCTTTCTCCAAAATGGGCTTTGGCATGAGTACTTGCCCTGCAGTTTCCACCGTGTGCCCAGCTGCACCCAATTTATTCTGTTGCAAAGGTCCATCCATGCTCTGTGTTTCTGTTTGGTTCCTCTGGGTCTGTGCCCAAGGGTGTGAACAAAATCCCTGAAGATGAAGCCGAAGCCTGCAATCCTCTTGCATCAAGCCAGCCTGTCTTCCGAGTCAGCAAGCACAGGGCTGGGCTGTGTGTCCAGAACCTCTGTTCATCAAGGACCAGAAGAAGTTCCTGGGCCGAACAGCATCTCCATTAAGTGGAGGATCCGTGTCCCTGAGGCTTGGCTGGGATTCAAGTGTTGAGCTCAGTGCAGCAGCACTCAGGCTGCCGTGAAGGGCACGGGGCAGGTCTGGGCTGCGGGGACGATCCTGGTGAGACATGTGGGATGTGGGAGCAAGCAGAACAACCGTGATGTATTATGCCAAAAAGAAATAGCCACAAACTTATAAAATCTTATCCAAGATCCAGTTTACTTGGAGCAATTCAATTTCTGAGGAATCATTCCTAGTGACGCTGTCAACACAACGGACTATGCATAGCATGTCTCCTTTCGTTCACAAACCTTGTCAGAGTGTGTAGCGTTGCAATGTACATATAGTTAATTCATTTAGCGAGGACTCGGAATAGGACCAGATCTCTCATCTTCTGGACACTTTGCTGGGCCCCTGGCTCCAGGAGCCTCCCTGGCCCCGAGTCGGGAGAACAGTAGTTTGTGACTCCAAAGGCTCTATGCCCTACACAAAAACCATCTTCAGGTTGCTCAAACGGTTGGTTCCCCTTCAAAGGGTTTTTAGAGCATGCCTACATTACGTATGCGTGGCAATATTTCAAAAAAGCAACACTGCAAAGTTTAAACTTCTGTTTTACCACTAAAATCTGCTTCTACCCATCCTGCCTGCCAGTGGCCAGGGGCAGAGGCTGCTCTCGCAGACCCCATAGACCCCCGGAGCTGAGCCAGCCCTCCCCATGTGGATGTGGGGGGCAGAAGAGGGGCCCACATATGAGCAGGTGGGAAGTCCCAGGTTAGAATGTGGGAAAGAGTGCTGGGAAAGCCCCCTGCCTGGGCCTTCAGAGAGCCGGTAAGGGTGTCCAGGAAGGACCAGCGGATCATCTGACTCTGCAGCTGCCGCCTCCACCTGGTACCCTCGATGCAGAGAAACAACCAGCCAGTAAGGCCCTGGCTTCATGCTGACGTGTGCTTCTCTAACTGCTCTCCTTCCAACAGTGTGGTCGGCACCAGCTCCCTTCGTCGAGCAGCTCAACTGAAGAGGAAGTTTCCTCAGCTGGAATTCAGGGATATTGTATCCTTTTGTGGTTCCACAGTGCCTGGAATTGCCACATTAGACAGCTGTGCCTCTTTTGAATCAGAGGCATTTAGATGCCTTCCAGCAGTGGGGGCGGGGGGGTTCCTCAAGAGAGCTCATAGCTATGCACCCAAACACCAAGCCGATCTTTGTCTTGGCATGGCACTGGTAAAAAGGAGTTGGCCTTAACCCAACTTCCTGGGGAAGGGGTGGATGCCCTTCTGGCGATGGGGGCAGACTGCTCTTTGGGCCTTTCTTTGTATGCGCAGTCTCTACAACACCTTTGCAAGGCAGGCCTCTGTCACTCCATTTGGCAGGAGAAAAATCGGGTCTGAGAAACGGCAGCTTGGCTTTGCATCCCACTGAGCGGTGCAGCTTTTCAGACCTCTCCTTCCCCTGCCAGGAACTCCCCTCCCCCCCCCCAAAAAAAGAGGCCGCCAAAGCCAGCTGGGTCT